TTTCTTGTACAAGAAAAAAAGTCAAATAACCTTTTGATTTTAGTTTTTATTTGAGACCATTTCAGAAACAATATAGATCTTCAATGTTCATTTACAACTGTTCTGATAGTTTTTAAGCAGGTTCAGCTCATCATCACTCAACTCATCCCACCGCTTTATGAAGTTACAGGATGTGATGTGCACCGTCCCATCAGCTTCTAGACCACCTACAGTGACAGAACACAGAAGCAAGAATGAAAATGTGACATAAATATGGAGTAAATAATACTATACCATAAATTGTTTACCTGTGATAACATACTGTGTCCAATCAGCCTGCAAATCAACTGCACATCCCAAGGGAGAGTAGACAGCATCAATTCCCCCCACAGGGCCTTTGTACACCTGAATCAAATGATAAACATATACTAAAAAAAGCTCATCTGAGGACAGAATTTGTTTAGTGAAATCCATACCTGGATGGCATGAACGCTATATTTGATCATTGCTCCATTGTCAACCTCCTTCTTTCCAATGACAGATACGCTGATTACTACAAAAAACATAAGCCACATTAACAGAGAGATTTAACACACAATCAGAGCATCCCCATTAAAAAAAGTTGACTAAACTTACCAGCTTCTGAGTTGCAGAGATCCTCCAAGGAAGACATCCTAAGAGGACAAATGCAGACCTGTGCTGCTCCTGTCTCCACTCGCCAAATAAACAGAATGGCCAGAGAGATGAAACAACTCTTCATTATCTGAGTCATCTTTGGAAACTCAAAGATGATGAAAATGATGACAGCTGTCAAAGACAAATGCAGAAGACCAGAAATCAGATTTAAAACGATCTCTTCTTTAAACAGAGCAGTGAGTTTTATACCCCCTTGCCGCTAACAGGCTCCGCCCCTTCTGAGGTGACCATTTTAGAAACAATTCTTGCATGTTTTAGATTTTTCTCTGATCATTGGATCAGAAAAGTTAGTTTGTTGATTTCTCTTATCTAGCAACTCTCTCTATGTCTGACACATAAATAGAAGATCAACTAATTTTAGGACCTGTTTACACCAGACCAGTCTCTGGAAATACTAATGTTTACTGGGGTCAATATACAAAAAAATCACAGATTACATGGAACAACTGCAGTAATGTATCAGACGAGGTTGTAGTAAAGTGTTTTACTCTTCTCTTAAAATTATCATATTTTGAACCACCACAACAGATGACTCACTCAGTCATATATGCTGCATGAGAGACTTGTAAGATAAGGTGTGTGGTGTTTGGTGAAAATGTACACTGAAAAGAGGAGCAAAAAAAATCACAATTTTTTATCTGGCAACCCTGATACCAGTCTCACTCATGTGCTGATCATGCAGCAGCTGCATGATACTTCGAACCTGGTGAATAAGCTAATGTTCCATTGGACCTAAGATGCTCTTTGTGTTTTGCTTTTACAAGCTGCGAAGGGTGAGTAACACAAAAACCCTCCGGTGTCTGTAATTTATCTGTAATTTATTGTAATTGTCGTTAGTTAGAAGAAACGTTTGCTGTGTGCAGGTGGTTTGAACATATACGTATGCGCTTTCAAAGATGCTGGGTGCTTCTCAAAATCTCCACTCTGAGACCAGTATTCAGAAATCTCCGGGTTCAGAGAACCACGGTTAGGGCCGTGTACACGATCGGCCGAACTGCAAAAAAGAACCTGTGGTTTCACACAAAATCTGCATTGTGTAAACAGGGCCTTAGATTGGATCATGACCAGAGGTAGCAGTTCAACAATCTGAGTCAGCTTTGAAACTTATAAAATGTCAAAAATGGAGCCAGCTGTCAAAGAGTGATGAAGTCAATCTTAAACCAGCTTGGACATTTTAGTTGTTCTCCTCTTGAACAGAATCCTTGAGGTACATCAGGCGCCACCACCGCCTTGCAGACAAAAGGATCCACAAAGCACTGGGAGGTCAGGAGCTCTTAACTTTTCACAATCAGCTAATTTTATCATTCTGTGTGACCCTTGAAGGGAAGGACAACTGGTTTTAAAATGGACCTTGACCAGAGGCACGTTAACCCCACCTTAGACCAGTGCTCTGTGATGTTGGAGGTCAGGACTTTGGGTTGTGAAACAGCAAAATGGGAACCATTGAAACTACCTGCTGGTGGCCGATGTTTGGCAAAAGTGTCACTAGAAAACCACAAACAAACACAAATACAAATACTTCTCTTCTATAAAGCATTTTCATAATGACTGAAGCTAACATAGTCACTTGATTATGGTATAGAATTGAATTATGTGCATTACTACAGTATAAATT